AAGATTTGTGTGACAAGTTGGGCATGATTGACATCTATGCTCCAACTTGAGGGGGAGTGTTGAAATAATTTAGTTGTTGGTGTTAGGGTCTGTTTGGCTAGTTAAAGCATTTTTTATTTCTATTTTTTTACTTCTGTTATGTCTGTTATTGTACTCATTTATAGCGGGGGCACAAGGGTCTTTTCCCTTGTTATTTCTGCCACCCTATATATATTATAATAAAAGCTGGCGCCGCCAGTACTGTTACATTGCCAATCCCTTCTCTTCTCTTCTCCCTTCTCTTCTCTTCTCTTCCTCTTATTTCTGGCTGGCCACACTGTCAAGACACTTCAAGTAACAGCATTCAAAACATAAATGCATCAATTTCTCCTCTTCAGCAAAACATAAGTAGCATCTCGCCACCAGCAGAATTGCCCTGCTTTTGATGTGATCCTGGGTAATAATACTATCCAATGCAACTAACCAAGCAAAAGCCTCCACTCCAGGGGGAATGCAGTTTCACCTAAACTCCTTTCACCTCCAATTTCTCCACCTGATTCCTTGCCCAGGCTCTATAAAAAGAGCCTTACAGAAAATATGCCATTCATTACTCTCTTTCCATCACTTCTCTCTACTTGCAGTTCCACCACTGACTGTAATTTTGCTTATAGTTCCAGAAACTCCTTAACCTGCCAATCAAGGAGTGGTCTTCTGAATTTTGGACTCCACACCACTCTTTCCTCTTCCTGCCCAACCTATAAAGTCTTGGACACAAAGCACAAAAAACTGCCAATGCCCAACCAATCATCTTCCCAAAACATAAGTTTGCTCCATCCCCAACCTTTTACGAGATTACGAGACATGGTACAAGAATGTTGATTGAAAACATTATTCCCTCGTATGACAATTTCAACTCCTTTTAGTCCCACCCAAAATCCAATACACCATACTTACAAACCACCACTTTTCTCCATAGAGCATTTCTTTACACACCAAATCTCCTCCCCAATAGCACCCTATTAAAAACCCTTCCTTCTTATCCCTAAACCACCACCTCTCTTATCCCTGCACACCCAATCCCACTTCACTAAATGGAACATTTTTCAACCCCTTTAACACTCCATAAGAATTCCCTCTGCATCTTCTCAATTGAATCTGCCAGTGGTGATGGTACTTTGAGCAATGATACATAATATACTAGGAAATTAGATAAAACACTCTTGATAATGTGATTCTCCCCCCAATGGAGACGAGAAGAGGGAAGTTTGTGGATGCAGAGAAGTGGAGAAAGGAGGTACAGATTGAAGCTAAGAGATTACTACTTAAAGAAAGCAGAAGTCAGGTACAATGCTCTCTGAAGATAGGGAGAAGATGAAAGCTACCATTTTTTCTGGTCAGAGATGTTGTACTGTGGCTGAAGGGCTTTATTGATGGTGTCATTTTTTTCCGTTAGTGCACAAGGGTAGAAGAGCTCCATGCGCTCATCAGGGAAAAGGTACAAGACTGTGCTTCGATGGAATAGGAAGGGGTGGTTTATAACGGTGGCAGAGTTCTTCAATGGAAACAAAAAGCAAATGATATGTCTACCAGAGGGTAAGGAATATGAAGGATGGAAATTAGTTTCTGAAAAATGCAATAGTACCTTGCTCATGCTGAAAAGGAAGGTTTAGAGAAGGAAGTTGATGAAGTGGCTGTAGAATAGTTTTCAAGACACCAAGGCAAGGCTAGGCGATAGGGGGCGCCTTGTCGCCTAGGCGATGGACTTTTTTAAGTAAAAATCACATATCCTAGGGTAGTTCCCTAGGTTCCATAACCAACTTTCTTTAATAACTATCCATAATTTTCATAAGAAAATTATAAACTTCATGTTTAAGTCTAGAAAATCAACATATTTATGAGAAGAAAAAGAAGAAAGGAAAGAAAATTCAAAAAATATAGGGGCTGAACCCCTATTTTTGTTATAGGAAAAGNTATTGGTTCAGATTTTGAAGTCATTGAGGGTTCAATACAGCAGTTAGCAATGTTTGTGTTGATTAAATCCTAACAAATAAGAAAATAATAAAAAGAAATTAGTTTATAWACACAAAAAATGAATATTTTTCTTTAATAATGTCTATTTTATAATTATAATCTCAAAAAAATAACAATTTAAAAGTATTTTATTACACAGTATGCAAAACTGCTTGGCAACTGGGTGAGGCAAGCCTCCAAGGGCGCCTTGTCGCCTAGGCGTCGCCTTGACAACTATGGGCTGTAGACAATGGCTGCCTTAAAGGGGTGGAGAAGAACCCAGTATCTATTAAGGGCGATTCCTGCTCCATAGACGATCAATATAAGGAGCAGGGTAATGTAATTATTGCTAGCTCATATAGAACACTGAAGCTGTCAATGGAGGTGGAGATTGGAAAAAGGGGATTGGGAGAAGAGATATATAATTACTGCAAAGGTGAAAACAGATTGGAGATCAGTTCTGGATACGTGGTGGAAAAGTTTCAGATTAAGAACAAAGCTACAACACTACCTTTCTATGATAACAGAGCCATTGTTGCCAAAGGCAATGAGGTGATGGATGTCTCAACGGTGAAAACAGAGGAAGGGTTTGTACTGTTTGAAAGGTGGAAATTGTGCTGTAACAAGAAAGAGATAGAGGAGATGCATACTATTGTGAAAAATGGTGGGGTTGCCATTTAAGCTTTGGAAGGAAGAGATAATGGCCAAAGTAGTAACAGAATTAGAGGGAACCCTGGAAAATTACAGTTTCATTGATTTGTTTGCAGTGAACATCAAGATGGTTGGAGTGAAACTGGAGTACATCCCCAGATCCTGTGACCTGTCAATAGAAGGGTGATGGCAGAAAATCTGGTTAGCAACCAGAGCTGAAGTGTGGTTGCGGGAGGGATGCTCCAAGGGGGAAGACGAAGCTGAGTTGGCTAGGTGGTTTCCACGTGGCAGATTTATGGAACTTGAACCATGACTATGATTTTCAAAGCCCAGCTTAAACAACAGGAGACAAACTAGCCAAGATTATGTTAATAAAATACACAGTAAAATGGCAATCCATTTTCTGACTATCAGGCATTGTCATATGCTCATTTCATACAGATACAAACAGTACAGGGAAAAAACATAAATCATAATTTAGTTCTTGTGATACACAGCTTATACTTTATACTTACAAAATTGTACAAGGCCAGCAATATCAGGCATCAACTAACCAGATAGAATGTTAACAAAGGCAAGAAATTTGTCTGTTCATGTGTATTTAGATAGAGATATGTACCAACAAAAAAATATCCAAGGGAACAATTTTATTAACAAATGTAGCAACCATATATATTTTAAACCACATATGTTGATAGAACAAGTCTAAGAAGATACTTCCAACCAAAGCACAAACTTACAATCTTTCCTATTGGGAAAATCCCAAATATACTAAAGCAGATAGAACCATCTTTGTCGCCACTGCATAAGATGTTAAAACGTTGATGTGAAGAATTTGATAGTTCTCTAAATGAGTCTTCATTGTCATCCATGAACCCAGTATCCCCAGACACCAATCCAGGCACCCGAGGAACTCTTGGAGGAGCAGGGAAGAAACGGGAGGTACGGTCTTCATAAGTTAAGAAGCTACCACTGTCATCCTGAATGAACATTTTAAATTAAAAAAAAAAAAAATCTGAAACTCTATTAGAGAGAATACCCAATAAATAAATATATATATATATAATTGCTTTCACAGTTCAGTGGATACAACAAAAAGTAACATTAGTATGGAGGGCAAAAAAAGAAAAATAATAAAATCAGTAGTTTAGCCTGCAGGTGCCAATGTATATGAAGGAGGGATGACAAAATTACTTTCAAAATTAAAATGTACGCAACATATGAACATACTAAGTACACCGCTACACAAGCATATCAAAAGTAGATTTTTGCCTTGTTTATCAGAAGGGGGATATAGAAAAATGTAGATACTAGATACTCCATAAATTCAGTCATAATCAAATAGTGGAGGATTTTTTTTATCAAAAAAAATAGTGGAGGGTTTTTTTTCAAAGATAAAATAAAAGATTTTATTAAAACAAAAAGCAGTTACAAGGAAGGTGATAAGCAATCACCAGAGAGGAATCAAACAAACCCAGAAATACCAAGCAAAGAAACCCCAAGCCCCAAAAAGACCAACTCAACAACAGTATAATCCTTGCAAACGAGCAAAAACAAGAATAAACCAAACTGCAACAAAGGCAAAACCTAGACCCTACAAACTAATATCAACACCCGCAGAAAACCCACACCTATCACCCAATCCCACCAGGACTCCCACTCAAAAACTCTTCTTATCAGCTTTTTGAGAACGTTCTTCTAGTCCCCTTCTATCTGATCTTGCATTTTTTGACGAACTTATTAGCCCCAATGCAAAATAAGCCTCCTTTTATCCGTGCAAAGACATTTGAAACTGGAACCTGCTGCTGACTTTTTCTGATCTTTTGAGCTCTGAATCTTCTAACTGTATTAAATGTTTCCATGGCTTCTTCCATACTCCCCACCGACTTCTTACCCCTATCTGAACCCACAATCCCCTCAAAAACTTCCTCCTGCTTCTTGAATACATCCCCACTAGAGTGGGGTTGTTTTTCTTAAAGAATTGCCAGAATTTCCATCAAGCACTATAGTGGCACTACTCTCTTTTTCCCCATTTTTTTCGTCCAACAATCCAAATGCTTCTTTCGCAAATTCCTCCCCTCCTAAGAAAAACAACCCCAGAATTTTGCTGACTCCCGCATCCTTATTTGCCACTTTCTCTAAATCACATGTCTTCTCTACTTCATGAACCTCATCCATCATCGGCTCTTCTTCATTAGCCTCCCCTGAATTTCTTCCTTTTGTATATTCAAACCCCATCTCCAATCTTATCTCCTTCCACCTCTCTTCCCCTTTCCCAAATCTCTAATTCTTGCTCCCCTCCTTTCTTCTCTATTAGATCTTTTTTCCACTTCTCCTTCTCCCCACCCCACTAACTCTTCCCATCTCTCATTTCCTTTACTTCTATAGTCCCAATCACCTCACCTCCTTGACTGATTTTCCCACTTCTTCAGCTCTATTTGCATCCCTTCTCAATAAAACCTCAATCGTCCTTCTGCCATTCTTTTCTTCTACTGCCGTCCTTTTCTCTCCCCAATCATCCCCTTCAAATCTTTCCAGAACTCCTCCCTCATCATCAGTGACATCCAATATGTCTTCACTGTCCTCCCCTTTTTCTTGTTGCATATGATTGTCTTCACAATCCACCTACATCTCCCCCTTTTCTTCCGCACTCCTTTTTGCACCCCTGTCATCCTCCTATATCGTATGTATTTGGTTCCGTGGGCGTTTATGGATAGGCAGGCCATTTATTTGTACTTTTTCACTTTAAACGTTTATTTATACTTTTTCACTTTAAATGTTTCCTGTTTTTGTTGTTTGGTTGAGCTTCACTTTAAACATTTTTTACTCTCCACCTTAGATTAATACCCATTAAAGTGTGCCACATCAGCATTTGGTTTCAAGAAACACTGGAGTGTTGGGGAAACTAGAATTTGACGTTTCCCCAAATGCCCCATGCACAAAAATCAAAGCATTTCAGTTTTCTACCATTTATTTGATAAACAGTGAAACCAAACAGTTGTTTCATTTTGCTCATCTGCAATAAACGCCAACGCCTATGTGGCGCTGATGTGGTGGTGTTTTTTCAATAAATGCCCACAGAACCAAATACAGCCATCGCCATTGCAATCTTATTTTTAGGAAAAAATACTGCATTCTCCAAACAAATCCTTCGGCATTGGAATCAGCCTCTTCTATTACCACCTTCCCTATCGCCTCTTCATCCTTTGGGGCCCCTAATCCATCTACCAGTCTCTTGGCTTCCTCCGTTATTTCTTTCTTCAGACTCAAACTATTTGGCTCAAGATTGTTTTCTTTAAACTGCTCGCCCCCAAAAAACTCTTGGGCCGAACCTCCTTCATAACTTGACCTACCCTTCAACTCCAATCTAAAGGGTTTACCCCTCCTGTGTCCACTATTATAATTCTGTTTAAGATCCAATTGTTTCCAACCCAGATCGTCACCTTTTTTTATGTCCACGTGCTCCCAAGAATCACGTGTTGATCCACTAAAACTGGCCCAACCCTTTGTCATTGCTCATCTTTCTCTCTAAACACCTGTTTATCTTCCTCTTCTCCTTTTTCATTCCCCCAAACCCTGCCTGCCTCATCTTCAACCTCTCGTCTCCCATACCACAGGGACGCTTCCGCTTCCAATGTCACCCAAAGTTTCCACCATATCCCTTCAGTGAAGAAGTTGCTCGTGCAGGGAATCCTATCCTGTTTAACACCTGCAACTGTTATCTTCAATGCGTGAAGATTAGCAGTGTAAACATTTTCCAACACTCCAGGGACGCTTCCATCCACAAGTTGAATGACAGACTAAAAATCTTCAACATCACACACCCTCTAGGTATTGAAATTTCATTGCAAGAAGGTGTCCAGTTCACCACCGTCACCAAACCTTCCAATGTTTCAACATTCATGAACTCTGCCTTCAATTTTCCAATGTCCAGAACTGTTTTACTGTCATCAAAAGGAATAATCACATCCAAATCCGCATTTGGAATTCTAATCATAACATTGTTAGGAATCCTCTTCCAATCACTAACCTTCTTTTCTGTCACCATCAACATTTTGCTCCAATCTTCCTTACCTCCTCCCAAAGCAAACTTTGGAGCAACACCAGCTCCTTCAATCATCACCTCCTGAATCCCTTTATGTTCCTCTGTATCCTGAAACTTCTTCTCTACCCCCAAACCCTTTAACTTTTCTTTTTTCAGCCAACACCTTTCTTCATACTCCTGCAGCACCTCAGCAACTGCAACCCATCCCTGTCTATTTCATCCTTCTAGCAAACAAATAGTGTGTCTCATGCCATCTTCCAACTCTTCGTCTATCCTCAAAAAATATCCTTTGTTATTGACTTTTTTCTCGACTGAGAAGTGTTTTCGTTCCCTTCTCAACTCACTCCTCCAGCCTGGTCTGGTCACTGTATGGATTGCTCCCTTGACAAATCCTTTAATCCAACCTGCAATGACTAGGGACAGGAAGATCGTGGCCCTCCCTTCCTCTTCAAGCATCAAAACTTCTCCCTCCTTACATTCCTCTACCAAAAAACTCCTTTTTCAACCACAAGTCTCTTCCTCCAAATAAAGCCAATATATATTACAAAAGATCAATAAAAAAATCTAGGTGGTTAAGAACTCAATATACCATCCTTGAAGAACACAAGCAACCTTAGCAGAATCAGAATAACAAGGAAGAGCAAGGCCATTCTTCTCAAAGACCAACCCTTTCCATCAGAGGCTTTTCATAAAATAACTGTAGTCCTCTGATTTCATAATGTACAAAGATGGACATCTATGAACCCATGCACAAGCTATGCAAGCTTTATAGCCATACAAGCACTAAATGAAAGGTTAACGTCTGATACATTTTATTCTCTTTCTTCTTTTTCATTTTTTTCCCAACCATTTGCACTTGGCTATCAGATTAACAATAACAATAGCAATTATAATGCAGATGCTGAAGCAAGAAAAGAATATATGGAGAAAGAAATCAGCTTTTCCACCCCTACACTAGTTTCAGGATTTTGAGGTGATGGGAAAGGTTCGAGATTTTTTTATTTATTTTCTAGTTCTAGTAAAGAATGGGGTTTAAGGTTTCTAGGAATTTACTTTATTTCCAAATTATTGTTTATAATAATTTTTGGGCTTACTATTTATAGTAATTCACATAAATGTTATTTATAGTAAACTCCTGGCTTATTATTTTAGTAATTTCCGGTGTCTTTAGATTAATGTAGTTTTAGCAGGATTAGGAATGTGTTATTAGAGTAATTTACAAGTTAAAAATCCTTATTTGAGTGTCCCCTATGGATTGTCTCAATTTTAAAGCAAATAGAAGTGACATAGTTCACTTTCCAAGTCCAATTGAAGTCTGTAAAGTGACATCTGAGTTCATACTTGAATCTATAGTCATTGTAATTTAAATAAAAGAAGAGTTGATTTGATGAAATAAAGCTTGGTTTAATAAGTTATCTATATCCTTTCTGTTTACTATAAGTCTATAACAAGCAAGAGTTCTTTTGATTCCTAACTCATTCTTTGATGGACAACAACCTGTTTACTTGCTTTTCCATCCATATTATTCATCTTTATTCACTAAAAGCCCCTCTTTCGCCCTATAAAGCCCACCATAAAATCTTAAATCAGTAGGACCCCTACCCCATCCTACATCAAATAGCATCCGTCTCCAAACCGATAGTGCAAGAAGAGAGCAGTAACCTGATTCTCTTTTTTTTTTCTTTTTTTCCTTGTTTTTTGGTAAGCAGTAATTCTATAAAGCGGGTGATGTAGGACTTGAATGAAACAAGGATGAGTCTAAGAGGGTTAAGACAGGTTTAGGGGTATATTAGACTAAAAGCAAAGATTGGTTTGGTTTGGAAAGGTCTTGCACCCAAACTGCATGAGTTGCATATTTGTCCAAAGATAGTGGAAAGCTTCAAAACAAGGAAATAGGTATAGGATAGGAACTTTTCAATGAAACTTTATAGGTAGGGTTAGAATGGATAGTTATAGAGAGAAACTAATTTTGGTTAGGTTCAATGTATGTCTTGCACAAAAGAACAAAAATTCTAGGCTTTAAAGAAAATTAGAAGCTTATGGAATGCAAGGTTCTGGGTGGAATTTCAAGATGATATTTGGAAGGACAAAAGGTTATGGATTCATGGGAGTGTCCAAATATGGAAGCAAAAGGAGATGGAGATGCAATAAAAATGGCTAGAATGGAAAATTTTCAGGATAGATGAAAATAAAAAAGGAATAACTCATCCAGATCAATCCAGTTCTTTGAAAATGCTGAATGAAATGCCTTTTGATAAAGTACTTATGCTGTTGATGGCTATAACAGCTGCTTGCAAATTAAAGATAATATATATATACAAAGAGAGAGAGGAGAGAGAATAAAGAGGAAACTCAATATCACTCAGAAGGCAAAGTGTTGTGGCCTATAGTGCAGAAGCAGAAATAGGGATTGTATCTCATACTACATGTGAATTAATTTGGTTGAAGACACTTCTATGTGATATGGGTTTCTCAACAAATCAACCTATGAATCTCTATTGTGATGATCAAACCATCATAAATATTGCTTCAAATCTAATTCCCAATGAAAGAAATAAAAATATTGAAGTTGATAATCAATATGTTACTGAAAAAATGTCCAGTCTAAACATAAATGCTCCCTACATCAAATCAAGTTTTTGGTTGATTGACTTAATTATCAAGGCTCTTGCTCAACCTCAAATTGATCTTATCATTGGCAAGATGGGACTATATGATATATACTCCATGTTATACATAGGTTAGCGTAGGGACTGATCTGCAATTATTTTGCACAAAGGCACCTGTCTATGATTTTTAGTTTTTATAAGATAAAAACACAGCGGGTTGGTAAGGTCTCCTGCTGGTTGTAGCGGATACTTGGGATCCAATCCCACCTGACCTGGGTTCGGGGGGTTATGGGTTGAGGGATGGGCTACCCCCCGTTGTGTAGCCCTTCAAAAGAAATCAAAAGAATAGAAGATAACATCTTGTTCTCTCCTCTGTTCATACTAGACTTAATCTTCCTTTTCTTTCCTTTCTTCATTGGTTCTCTCTCATGTGATTAAACAGAAAGCATGCATCAAATCTTAAGCAATAAAGAGCCATTACTCATTCAGCACAATAATTATAGTTACATGGCTTGTTAGAAGATAATGGAGGGAAACCTAGTCAACAGTATACCTCCAATGGTTGTGCATCCTCCTCCCAATTAAGACATAGAATAGCCACGCTATGGGACTTCATACTTCTCAACAGCTTTCCATTCTGTTATGCAAATAAAACATTATCATTCTCCAATAACATACCAAGGTCATGTATAATAACAATGAAACAAATTGCAGTGCTGAACCATCAAAATGAAAAGCATGTATTGAGAGATGTATGTTATTTTAGAGACATGAATCAATTAGTACATAATATAAGCCTCTACTCAAAGATGACCATGCCATCTATAGAATACACCTTATCAGAATTCTTCTTCAAGTATGCTAAGATACGCCCTACTGCCTCCAAATAATGGACTAAAGGCTTATGCATATATTGGACCATTGCAGCAATTTGGTAGTAAAAAAGAACATAAAGGAAAAGAAAGGACAATGATGGGAAAGTAAGAAGAGAGATGAACTGAGGAAATAATTCAAAAATGTAAAAGGAAAAAACAATAAGAAAGCAAACCTGAAATAATAAGATAACGATTCAATAAAATAGTATTAAACACAGGAATGGACTACCTGAAGTAAACTAGGGATATAAAACCTGCCAATTACAGGATTACAAAACTGTGGGTTTAGACGCCCATTCCTAAAGGAAGATCAAGGTATTTTAAGGGCCAATTCAATGTCCCAAACCCCATCGTCCTTCCATATTCAAGGACAGTGTCCTCATCAATGTTAAACCCCACCAAACTGCTCTTGGCCAAACTGATATTTAGCACGAAGATAACTTGAAATATTTAACAAGAGTATGAAGGGTCCCCACATCACAAAAGACAATATCAACAAATCAAAGGTGAGAACTGTTAAAATAATTTAGTTGTTGGTGTTAGGGTCTGTTTGGCTAGTTAAAGTGTTTTTTTCGTTTTTTCACTTCTGTTATGTCTGTTATTGTACTCAGGGGCACAAGGGTCTTTTCCCTTGTTATTTCTGCCGCCCTATATATTTATTAAAATAAAGGCTGGCACCACCAGCACTGTTACATTGCAAATCCCTTCTCTTCTGCTCTCTCTTCTCTTCTCTTCCTCTTATTTCTGGCTGGCCATACTGTCAAGAAGAACCTTATGCTTCCTTCCCCAACATAAATCCTATTGAGAACATTACCCACTAGGAGATGTTGGTGCGGGAGATGGAAGTTAAGACATGTTGGATTAAGAGATCAGCTAATTCCTTAGCTGACGGTTTAGCAAAACAAGGGGCAGAAAGGGATTCCTTGTTTTGGGCTAAGTTGTAATGTTAGTGTCCTTGTATCTTTGTATTTTCTTCTTTCCTTTCTTGAAGTTCTTTGTGACTCTTGGAAGATAAGTGTGTTTGTCTTCCACTTGTAAATTTTCTACTGATGAATTAATGAAAGTGTTATTGATCAAAAAAAAAAAACATTACCCACTAGGAGAAAGAGAAAGACAGGAAGAGGATTAGCATTAAGACCCTTCCATCCAAGAAGAAATTTTGAGATTTTTACAAGGACTGAGATATGAATTATCAAAAAAATAATTGTTAATCAACTTTATCCATCAACAAACCATGATTCTTCAAAAACTCAATGAAGAAAGGACCAATATAAATAATCATAGGGATTTTCCAATTGATGCTTGCATGTACAATAACTTACGAAAGGGACAATGCTTCATACCCTAACCCAGTGTATCACCCTCACCATTATGCAGTCTCTTACCGCTTCTTTACTTTCTATCCTTTCCTAAAAAGATTCTGGGTCCGTTTGGTACTTCACAGTTGGAATCGGAATCGGAGTGGTCTATTCCAACAGTCTGTTTGGTTCAGACAGGAATGGGATTTAATTCCCAAGGGAGGAGGAGGGAATGGTCATTCCCTCAAATGGGGGAATGCCATTCAACCAGGAATGGGAATGGGATTCTGATTTTGCCCAACCAAACAGTTGGAATCAGAATAGCCCATTCCGATTCCAATTCCAGACCCCTATTCCCATGAACCAAATGGGGCCTCTATTGTTTCTTTCTTCCCACTGAGTCCATATTATCACTGCTCTAGCACTTTTCCAAATAATCCTTCCCCTCCTTTTAGGCTAGACAAAGGTAGAAGGATCAAAAAGCTTACATACCTCCATTGGCAAGGACCACCTGCATCCAAACAAAGAGAAAAACCATTCCCATATATCTAGAGCAAAAGGACAGGATATTAGTAAGTGGTAACAATTCTCTTCATTGGATTTACATAGAGTGCACCAGTTTGAGGATAAGCACAAGAAGGGTCTTCTTTTTTGTAGCATGTCCAGAGTGTTGATCTTCTCATGGTACATTCCCAACAAAAAGCTCCTATTTTGGTAGGAATAAGCCAACACCACACTTCCTTACCTTAGTAGGGAAAGGATAAAAAGGAGAAGACAAACAAAGAAACTTGAAGAAAGAAGAACAAGAAAGGTAACCCTCATTCAACTATACAATTTCGGCATCCCTCAACCATCTTCAGAACCCAAAATCCCAATCATGATTCAATGAAAGAATAGAAGCAATAAATTCCAGAGAGTTGAGCTTGCAAGAGAAAAGAATTTGGAGAAATTAGTCATTGACGGTGACTCAAAGGTGGTAGTAGAATGGTTAGAAAATCCAGAGAGTGTTGTTTGGGCTTTTAGGGAGGAAATGAATAAGCTTAAATGGCAAACCAGCACTACGACATTGATGATACCATGGGTTAGAACAGCGAACAAGATGCCATACTCTCTTACTAAGCAAGGGGTTAATAGGGAATTCTTGTATTGGGCACAATTGCAATTTAACTATGCTCTTATTTGGGAGGTGCACCTTGCACCTCTCTTTGGGTTGCTCGTACTGCTTCATGAATGTTGAGTTTTAATAAAATTTCCCATTTACCTATCATCTCTCTCTCTCTCTCTCTATCTATATATATATAGAGAGAGAGAGGTGCACAAAGATCATTTAATTTTGGTAGACGAGCTTATACGCATAAAACAAAATACAAAATAAAATTTTCAAAACATAAGGTTCATATTAAAAAGAACACATATATAATAAAAGCAAATCATATAAATTAACAACAATTATAATAAATATATATACATATATGTATATTGTATATTATATTTAGACACACAAAAATTAAAATTAAAAAATTATATGTACATATATACATATATGTACTAACACAGGTACAAAGGCACACTTTGAGGCTTCTACCTCAAAATACATTGAGGCTTGCACCTCGCCTCTGCCTTAGCCTTCTAAAACCTTGATTATAAATACCATTATAGAAACTACATTACATGCCATAAGTAAACAATTCCAAACAGCTAGAATTGACTTGAGTTATATTTTCAATGATTTAGTTAGTGTTACTTACTTCAACATCATGCAACGAAATGGTCCCATCATCAAGACCTACAGCTATCGCTTTACCATCAGGACGCCAGCAAAGAGCTGTTACGCATCTTCCTACACAACAATTAGAACAAATTAGTACATCCAAAGTACATTATATATATAGAGAGAGAGAGAGATAGCAACTATAAATCCACCTATCAGCATAACATCAATCAAGTGAATAGATGGAACACCCAAAACAATAAAAGGGTGAGAAGAAGCCGTAATTCTTCAGCTATAAATCACTTATTAAAATACAATCAAGGCATCAAGTAAGGTCAAGTTGTAATTCTTAAGTATCAAGTAAATATATAGGACACCCAAAAACATCAAATGGCAATAATAGGCTCGTTTCAACTTTGGTCTTGTAAGCCCAACTCAATTCATCCAACCCAAACATAATAGCAATCTTTGAAATGTAGCCTACACCATTCACTAATATTTTTTATCGGTTACGCCATTAACTAATTACACTGCAAGGAAAGCAATGGCATCTCATTTGAATCTATCCTTTGCATTAAGAGCTAAAATACCAGAGAAAGTCCATCAATTCAGTAAAATAGTTCGAACATAAAGAAACAGTCCTAGAAATGGTGAAAGAATAAAGTAGGTCATCACCAGGAGAAATCGTCCATAATCTCTGCCAGTTGAAACGATGAAGAAGGATCTTGGAATCTCCTGTGACCATAGCCAATAAATCCTTCTCTGGATTCCACTCTGCGATTTTGATCTAAAAGAGGACGAGGTTAATGGACAAAATTAAGGTGCAAAAAATGAAAAAGAAAAATAATGGAATCTGAACTGAAGCATGTGAAGAACCTGAGAGGCGATTGGTTTGTCGAACTGAAGCTGAAAAGGTATTATCCCTTGCCCCTCGTCGGTTTCCATGACTCAATAGCTTCGAAGCTTTCTACAGGGAGGGATTGAGGAGAAAGGCGACTGAAGAGGTTTATAGACTGTGGAGTGCGGAGAAGAAAGAAACCCAAGGCGGGAATTTTTTTTGGGGGGGGGGAGGGCGGGGACCGGTAAGGTTGCGAGTATGCGTAGAGAATTCGGATTTGCTCTCAACAAATCACGACTCACATCAACCTCACAACGCATCTCAACCGTGGATTGAAAACATCTTATTATGAATGAAACATCAAGTACGAGATGTTCTCAATGCACGGCTTCGATATGCGATACGCTGTAAGGTTGGTGTAAGGCGCGATTAGTAAGGAGCAAATCGATCTCAGAAGTAGAGCGATGAGGTCCGTTAGTCTGGTTTTGGACTGAAAGGAAAATCCCTCCGTGTGCACACGATTGTGCGTCGTATAACCGGTTAGTGAGTTGTGTAACTTGTGTTTGGCATCTTTTTTGTTAGGTGTTCGGTGCTATGCACCATTAATAACTTGAATTTGGATTAGCTAAACGCATGGGCCATGAATTTATTATTAGCGTAAAACCTCATCGTTCATTTTACCATGGTTTTTAAAATCGGATCGGATCCGACGGTCGGACCAGAAAAACCGGGAATCAGTTAGGTGACCGGTTTCGGGCTTCCCTAAAACCACAGTTTCCATAAAAATCATTGATTTCGGGTGGTTAATTATTCGAATCGTTCGAACTGTTTGAACGATTTTGACCGGTTTTCATTTTTTAATTATTTTTTATTTTTTTGTCATAACGGTCCAACCGTTCGAATGTAACCGGACCCCTGACCGCTTTGGTCTCTGAGTCGATTTTAAAAACCATCGATTTTACAGCTATTGCGTTTTGTCAAACTTTGCTCTAATAACTTTATCCCCTGATCTCTTTTACTATAACAAATTGGTTAACACTTAGCCATCCCTCAGTTGGTTTAACTTGTGTTAGGCATCGTAACCAGGGGTGATCATTTCAGTCCGGCCCAAAAAATTTAGGCTTCAGCCTAGGTTTTGTCTTAATGCCTCAATCAAATTCAGGCTCTCTCTTTTTTTTTTTTTTTGAAATTGACCGGTTTTTAAAAAATTGTGAATCAAAATGAATCGATTAACTAGTCCACCGGTTTGATTTACCAATTTGATTCTTTGGTTTTTATATTTACAATATATATTATAAATAAATATATAATATAAGTGTTAAATAGATATTATAATATATTATAAATATGTATATTATATTTTAAATACTACAAATATATATAATTTATTATAAATATATTATATATTATAAATAGATAACTAAAAATATAATATATTTATGTATAATACATATAAATTTGTAATATATATATATATACATATATATTAAATTACTAATTAATCTTAGAATTATTATAATGAATAGTATAAATATATAATCGCCTTCTTAATTATATTAAAAGATTAAAAGTTTAAAATCTGATCTGATTCTTTGTTAATTTAAGCATGGTTAAAGAGCTCAAGCTAGAGGGTTGAGAATGAATGACTTTGGGTCAGATTTGGATTGGGCTAAACCCACACCGAACTTGATCCATTGGCATCCCTGACCATTGAGACAAAGGTATTTGCGTTTGAAATACCAATGTACTTTATGTGGACAATGAAGACCGTTTATTGATATAATAGTTGTGATCTTCTTCCAGATTGCATGGTATATGATTTTTGCTTCATTTTCTTTCTTAACCATATGTTTAAAGCTGAACTCTTTGAATGGGTATTAGGTAGATTTCATTGGTTGATTTGCCATCTGATGACAAGTGGATCAGGCTGCTAGTAGTTCAAACCTGTAGAAGCCTTGAAAGCAAAAGCAGAGTTAGGCATGCACATTTCATATATATTTTTTAATGATATATATCATTTCTCAACACTTAACAGCTTCAATGAATGAGCCCCAAGGACCTACTGATGTTTTTCAACCATCCCATAACAATGGATGAGTCTCCTTCAACCTCCATTCTTTAGGCCCAAGGAGTAATCAATCTGTAGACCTTGCAACAAGGATGAAATTTCTCCTATATGATGCAGTGTTTTCGTATCTGAATGGTCGGGCTGTTCGGCTCAGGTACCATTCAGACAACCGATTCTATTTCACCCTTAATCCATTCTTTAGCTAAAAATTGTTGACCTTGTGACTTATTGTTTGGGCTATCGAACTATTAAACCCGTTTGACCCAGACAATGGTTTTGATCATTTTTATTTTATTATTTTTATAATTTTATTTTTTAATTTGGAACGGGCTATCCGTTCAAGCCGAATGTTTGAACTACTATGGTTCCGATTCTAGGTCGGTTTTTAAAACATTGATAAAATGGACTAGATTATGATGCAAACCTGCAACCACCTCTCCCATAAGGTCCCTAGATGCACCTTCTGAAGAATCTAAAGATTATCCTAAATTATAATGTTCAATAATTTAGGAATATTTTTTTTCTGAGGTGTCTGTTAAGTATTTCTTAAGAATTAAAAAGAGTAAAAAGAAACTCAAAACTCATCATCCAATTTGAATTGCTCATTCAGATGGATTCCCAAGACCGCCATAGTCAAGCTGAGAGCTTAAATAGAATGAAGGCCAATAAGCATAATTTAGATTGGCAGTTTACCACGGTTGGATGTAGACCTGGCAATTGGGTTGGGTGTGTCGTGTTCGGGTCGGGTCAACACGTTGCGGGTTAACTTTCGGGTTGGGTTATCGAATGCTATAACCTAACCCTAATTGACCCATGGGTTAGGTTTGAATCGGGTTGACTTTCAGGTTGGATTATCAAATGCTATAACCTAACTCTAAATGTTCGGGTTAGGGTTGACCCATTGGTCAATTCGGGTCATCCTAAAAAAAATAACTGAAATTTTAAAAAAGTAAAGAAAAACTACATGAAAAATGCCAAAATTAAAAGAATTAACTTTAAAAATCCAAATATGAATAAAAAAATTGAACATTTAACAATTTAAAGAGTAAAGACTAAATAGAAAAAATTAAAGAGTGGAAACTTCTAACAATGCATAAATAGTCCCAATTAGGGCCTGTTTGTTTCCTCTTAACTCTTATCTCTTAAGAGGAATCTTTTAACTTGTAAGAGAAAATTGGTTGTTCGTTTCCTCTTATCTCGTGTCTCTTAAAGTGCAATCATACAACTTTTTGTTTTCTAATGATACCCCCAAAAAGGCAAACAGAAACTCTCATATATGGGTCAAAATGGATATTTGATACTTTTCAAAAATCATAATTCATAACAACATTCTCTCATCCAGAGTTCATAGGAAAGAAAATTTCACCAATACCAATTAGGGTCAGGTCGGGTCGGGTCATTCTCACATTTAGGTAGCTGAATATGAGACCTTAACCCTGTTTTTGGGTCAGGTCGGGCAGGGCGGGTTCGCGGGTGGGTTGAATCAACTTTTTTGCCAGATCTAGTTGGATGCCAATATATAACAGTTAACTTATAATATTTTTGAGTGGGTATACAAGCCTTGGGCTGTTTGTCATCTTTGTGCATATTGCTCTTAGGGCTGTTGGGAGATGGGGATGCCTTTACAATTCGTTATTATGTTGTTGAGCAAAAAGATTATGAAATTTATCTTCATTTATCTGAATTTGAATAATACCATTCAGTTATGACCACCAAATTGCTTTGATTCTTCTTGTAGGTTTCCATATAATACTTTTATCAAAACTTACTATTTATTGATGTTATTTTTATTACTCTTTCACTTTCACATTATTTCCTGATATACATTTCAAGAAAGGGGAATGTAAACAAAAGAGGAGGAGGAGGATGAGAGAGAGAGAGATTGAAATTGTTGGTGTTATTGATCATAGGTGATAAGAATAGGATGTTTTTTCTCGGTTATCAATCTTCCTTATGTTTCAAATTAGATGTTATGGAATTAAGTATTATCCATACAACTTAGAACGGAAACTTAGTATTGAGAACTTTCACATGTTCTTAAAGAAAACCACTTGATTAACATCACTCTTTGAATTTCTTGAAATTTAGCACTTCTCTATTTTGTTTGCATAATTGATATATCTTTCTTTATAGTTCTAATTTAGGTCTGTTTATGATTATTTTCACCCTTTGTGCAGGAATTAATCTTCGTTGAATTTTGGGAGAAGAAGTAGAAGAAGATTTTATAAGCCGATGTTTTGAATAAAACTACATGTTTCTAAGAATAGACGATGAAATTTGTATTAAGGAGTTTATTAATTTGAAACTAATATGTGTTTATGACAAATATTTTGAATGGAAAATGGATGATGAAATTGGTATTAATTAAGGAGTTTATTAATTTGAAACTAAGATGTGTTTATGATGTTTTGGTTTTTTTTTTGTATTTAATTTCAATTTTGATGATTGAAGAGAAAATAAGTTTTTTGAAACAAATTACAACTTTATTTAATAATTGAAAACAATTACAGGTTATTTGGATTTTTGACAAAATTCCAAATCATTTTGATAGGTGAGAAAAAAATTAGAATGTTGTTCAGGTAGACCTCGAGAAGAGATATTTAGAGGTGGTCACAATTGCTGCTATATGCTTTTTTCTGATACAAGATTAAATATTTTTAGCGGTAGTCGTGACTGCCGCTAAAGGCAACATTTATTGTTGCTAAAAAATTGTGTCAAAATAAAATGCACAAAAAAAAGGCGCCAAACCTATAGCTACATTCATTACACCCCTTTAGCGACAACCACAACTGTTGCTAAAGATATAACTACCGCTTAAAAATCATTCTTTATCTATAGTCAAGAATTGCTGCTAAAATGCTGCTAGAATTTTTAGCCACAATTTGGCGACTACCAATAAAATTTTTACCAACAGTTTTGAGAACTCTTAGCATTAGTTTTGATTGCTACTAAAAGTGAATTTTCCTATAGTACACTCAACATTCATACTAATGAGCCATCGTGTTAGTGATAAGGGTGTTTAATTTGCATTAGAATGGACCTATTGAAAGCAAAATAGGGTTGCTGTACCGTAGGGATGTCAATTGGATTGGATTTAGTTTAATCAAGCTCAATCCAGCAATGTGAGTCCATTACAAATGGATCAGGTCCAATCCAACCCAATGAATATTTTTGACCATTTTGGATTGGCTCAATTTAATGTTAGACTATGTTTTAATTTGGGTTGGTTCCAACCGAAACATGGTCTATTGACACCTATTTTCTTATCTTCAATCAATGGACCAGATATATTGGTTCAATCCAATTCAATCTAATATAAATTTATTATGGATGGACCAGGTCCAATCCAATCAAATAATTATTTTGGACCATTAAGTATGGACTGGTCCAATTCAATTTGTCTTGTTGGTCTGTCTAATCTGTCCAAATTGATTTTGGTTTGAATGTGGTCCAAATCAATTTGTCTTGTTGGTTTGTCCAATCTCTCCAAATTGATTTTGGTTTGAATGTGGTCCAATTCAATTTGTCTTGTTGGACTTAGCCCACCTTGCCCTGGATTCCAACCTTACAAAGCTCTCCTTCACTCTATGTTTTCAACCCATTGTTGACTTGGCTGGCTGAACCGTTTGAACCATCACCCAACCAAGATTCTGGGTCTGGTTCAATCAAGACCCGTCAAACAATAAAAAATCGCTGACTTGGTCAAGAACCACTTGACCCAACTGATTCAACCGTTGACCAGTTCGACCCGGTCACCAGGTCGCGGGTTGCACACTTAATGTAAATTTTCGGAGGCCATAACTTTGCACTCCAATGTCCGATTTGGGTGATTTTTTTTGGTAACTTTTTGAGATCTATTTGTCCCAAGGCACCATAGGCACCTTGCCCTGCTATTTTCGCAAAAAAAAAACCTTTTTCCTTAAATTGCAATTTTTAATATTTTATAATTAAAAAATTAAGAATTGAGCTAAAAAATATAATTTAAATATAAAAATACATATAACATATCCAAAACATATTATATATATAATATACATACACACACTTAATACATATATATGATGACATGGCATGGTCTGAATCGTTCGACCTGATTGGTCGAACCAATGACCCACGACTCGAAGGCAAAAACGGTTCAACCTTCAAGTCAGATTTTAAAACATTGCCATCACCTACTCAAAGCCAATCCAAAGAAGAAAAAGCAAAACAACCAAAATTTATTTCCATCTAATTCTTGTTGTAGGCAAGCCAAGCGGATCCTCTCTCTCTCTCTCTCTCTCTATATATATATACTTAATACATATCTATGATGACATGGCATGATCTGAACTGTTCGACCCGACTGGTCGAACCGGTGACCCACAACTCAAAGGCAAAAACTATTCAACCTCCAGGTCGGATTTTAAAACATTGCCATCACCGACTCAAAGCCAATCCAAAGAAAAAAAAGCAAAACAACCAAAATTTATTTCCATCTAATTCTGGTTATAGGCAAGCCAAGCGGATGTATGTGAGGCTTGATCATGCAGTATCTGCGTTTTCTCATATCTCTTTTTGCTTTAAAAAGCCGCTTTCTTTTGGCCTTTGATCTCTGTGTACTGCGTACATGATGGGAGATGCCAATTAACCATTTCACGAAAAAGAGTAGGCATGGAAGGACTGAAGGAGAAGAAAAAGTAGAGTACGTCTTAACTCTTAAGAACTGTGATTTGTTCTTCTTTGTATGTAAGTCCTAGAATTTTGCCATAAAGGACCCAAACTACCACTGAAAAAGTCCCACAACGAATTGCAATCACATGAGGAGGTGAATTTCTATCTACCTAACACTCATACCTCATCTTTAACATTATTGATACATGCTTTTTTGTTTCTTTGAAATTATTGATGGGATGTTCAGATATGAATGAGTTCCTTTCATCTAGAGATTTCTGATCTCCCCTTTCATCAACTCTATATCTTAAAGACCAATGATGTCAATGGGTGGGTTAAGTTAAAAATCCACATTGATCTGACCCTTTGTATCCTGCTTTGAAGTTAGAGAATAAATACGTATTTAGGGATCTCATCTAACAACTTAAACTTTTTATCCTGTGTTTAGTTGCAGTGTAATTTATTTGTGCTACTACAAATGCATAGGAGTGCAAATAAAAATAATGTAAATTTCAGTTTAATTTTATTTTGGATTTTACTTTATTTGGCTTCAGGTTTTATTTTACTTCATTTGTACTGCCATCAAACAAAATAAGGTAAATTTTGTAATAAAAATATATCAAAAATTGCACTACCATAATTTTGCATAAGTGAAAATTCATTTGCAGTGCAATCAAATGCAGCCTTAGGTTGAACTTTTTTTTTTTACGAGATGGTACTGAAGCCTATTTGACCAAGTGGTCAAATGTTCAATCCTCGCCAATTCCATAATTCACCAAGTAGCTTGTTTGACCAGAAGTTACAAGAACGTAACCAGCACTCAAGCCCTACTCCCTAGCACTCAAATCCCAAATACAACCTTAAAAAACCATTTAGTTATCCTACTTATTGTGATAATAAGTGAAATAAAATAACTTTTATTAAATTTAATATCCACATGCAATACAAATAAATTACATATTTATGTTTGACAATTCTAACTAAAAATTAAAAAGAATAATATTCAAAAATAATATTTTATAAATTAATGGAATAAATATTTTTTCAAGGCCACATTAAAATAAAAAAAATGACTGCAACCTCAAAAAGTTTATACAAATAAATATTAATAATAGAATAACTATTTTAATACTTAAAATTTATAAATTTGCAAATGGTATGTATCTTAAAATTTTTATATATTTTTAAATTATTAATTAACATTTTAATTTACATTAAATAACAACATGTTTTTTATTTACAGAAATAATTGTTTACAAAGCATTCGAGAATATAATATTAAATTGAATATATCAAATCTATAATCTACATTTATATCCAAAAATAATTTTTAATTTCAGAAAAAAACTATATAAATAAAAGTATTAATAATGGAAGGACAATTTTATCATTTAAAGTTGATTAATTTGCATATGATATGTATATTAGAAATTTTAATAAATTTGATATATTATAAGTTGACATTAATTGATATTTCACTTTACATTTGAGAATTTAATATTTGGTTGACATTTTTATTAATGTAAAAAAGTAAAAATAGTAAAATAGAAAATAAATGATATAATAAGTAAAATATAATAGGCACATATGTTTTGTGTTTTGGACTCTTGATTGATGTATTATCAATAAAATTGTATGATATCTATGCATCCCGCTATATAAATTGTAATATATTATTTAACATGCATCAATAAAATATACACTTTCTATGTATTTAAATATTATTTATGACTATTTAGCCTTGAATTTAATGCTACTAATGTATTTATGATTTTTTTTACATTTTCTTAACATATATAAGAATTTCCATATTTTTATTCATATCTATGCATTTCAAAATGTATTTATATTCATATCTGATTGTCTGAAACAATATTTGAGACGAATGTATTGCCCATAAAAATTGTAAATAAGGCAAAATCAATGGTATACGAAAAATTTGAATGAAAATACTTAAACATTGAGAGACTAGTGAGTTTGTTAGATACCATACCTTAATTTCCTATACATTAGCAGGACTCATAAATAAAATAAAAAATAAAATTTCTTTTTCTAAACCATTATTAATTACTGCAGTTACCAACTTCGGTTCAATGTGCAGACCATTATCAACGATCCAGTGTTTGATCAAAACGGTAGTCAAATCATTGAACCAGCCAAACAAATAATAATTAGGGTAAATAGATAAAACCTCCTTTGGTAAACTTCAAATCTTTCCTAAACTTTGGTAAACTTTTTGGAACAGTTGCAAATAGAACCCCAACCCTATGTTAAAATCCTCCAATAAGAATTATAAAAGTGTCCAAAATATCCATGCATTTACTTTATTCGATCAAAATATTTATTTTCCAATATTTTTATCCCAAACCTTCCCAATCTCTTTTCACAAATTGATTTATTTTTCCAAAATTACCCTTCATATCAATTGCTAAAATTTAAATTCTGTTTTTTCTTTGTTGTTCATAAAATCTTACCACAAAAATCAGCCTCAATAATAGTTGCATGGGTATTTTGGATATCTTCTTCCCTCTTATTAGAAAGGATTTTAACTAACAAAAAGAGTATACTTACAAATGTGTCAGAAAATTTAGAGATGATTGTACAATTACCAAACTTGAGGGGAGGTTTCAGCAAGGGTGAAAAACTTCAGAGTGTTTTCAGCAATTTACCCTAATAAATATTATAGTAAAAGAACACAATTAACCTTTCACTGTCATTATTTTGACTTTACAAAGCCGATATTCATTTCTGTGGGTTCAGCAATTTACTCTTAACAGGTTTTTCTTTCACTTTGGCTGTTCTACGTGTCTCGCATATTCGCGTTCCTATAAAAGGACTTGGCCAGTGCCATCTCCAATTCCACCTTCTTGTAATCAGAGAGAGAGAGATGATGGAGACTGGGATGTTGAAGATAGAGGCTCTTCTAAGGCTCTTCACCGTGGGACTCTTAGTTCTAACAGCTTGCCTAGTCGGAACTGATAAACAAACTAAGACTGTCTTCTTCTCCGTTGAGAGGAAGGCCACTGTCAAGGACTTGGACGCTCTCGTGTACTCTCTCTCTCTCTCTCTCTGTTATTGGGTATTCTAAGTATCATGGATATTTTCTTGTTAATCTAATCAAATATTGGTCTGAAATATGATGTTCCTGTTTTTCTTTCTGTTTCCTGTCTTTCTCTCTCCCCAGGATATTGATGATCGTGGAAACTGTTGTTGCTTTCTATCATCTTCTTCAACTTGGAAAATGCTTCTTCTTTCCTCGGTTCAAGGAAAACAAAGCTCTGCCTTATTCAACCCAGGCATGGGTTTTTTTCTTCTTAGACCAGGTAAATCCTACACTACTTTCATAATCTCATTTGACTTCGATGCATATATACCACATTCATCTCTCTCTGTGTGTTCTGTGTGTGTGCGCGCGCAAGGCAGCTGCCCTGTTTGCTGTCAGTCTCTACTGCACCATAGAAGATTTCTGAACATTGGGACTTATCGTATGTAGCTGTAGACAGATGGGTGCAGTTTCCTTGAAATTAAGTAGCCAATTTGAAATCTGACAGAGCATGCATATAGGAAAACAAACATTGAAGCCAGGAAGCTAGTTGTAGGTTAATTTCCATGGAAAAATTGAAGAATGTCTACATCTAAGATTCTTGTGATAGACTGGAAATTAATGATTGGGATATGATAAAGCAATATACAAGCTTTGGAATTAGATTTGCTTGGACCAAGTAGTGCTTAATGAAAATGTGCAAACTATTGACATGAAACCTATAAGTTAGAGCTAGGCAAACTCATAGCTGAAAGACTAGTATTAATTGGGTCTGGTTTGAAATAGAAAATTGAGATCCCTTTGATAGAATACTCGTAAATGATTGAAACAATGACCAATGCTATAAATCTCAATCACCATCACTAAGATAAAGTATATATATATATATATATATACTAGTAAAAGTGCACGTTCATTGACAGTGTATATATTGTAGTTCAACTCAAAGACCTAACTTCAAATGTTCTTATATTTTCTATCAAAATTTTCAACATGTGGTTGAACCATAGAGTTGTATCTATTGATTTGTAGCCAAAGAACATGTTTTCATCTATTGAATTTCTGGTACCCCATTTTTTTCATTTTATAAACCATCAAAATATTGATGGTTCAAAAAAAAATATGGGATTTTATTTTGAAGCAAAACCAACTTGTTTTTGCTTGTTAAAACAAGAAAACATGTCTTTTTTTTTCTGATTTGCATATTTTAAAAATAAAAGAATACAAAAACATTCATGTTGTAGAACACTCCCTAAATTGCTTATAATTGGATTTGGATTGCCCTTTTGAAAAGCATTTTTTCTATGGAGTGCGATAACGTTTTTTTTAAGGCACTAATATCACCCTTAATGAAAAATGATAGCATATATGCTTCTGCCCTTTTGACAATTATAATCTCCATACGAGAGAGAGAAAGAGAGGTCTCCCTTTGGACTTGGATAATAAATAATAATCCCCCTCCTGTCTTGGCCCAATAAGTGGGCCTTGTTAACACTCCTTACCAATCAATGGACTACCTTTTAAATGAGATGTAGCCCAAGAGTAGTAGAAAAGGTTATTATATCCTCATTTCTATTGACAATCAGAAATGATGTGAGCCCATACTTCTTCCATCCTTGGTTGATCTTCATCTTTTAAAACTTGAGCCCACTTCGAGTAAAGACTCTTAAATGAATCTTATTCGAGGCACTAGTCAAGAATGCTTATTGAGCTTATTTTCTTGGAATGGATGATTAACTAATTAACTCTGAGATCTACTTTGATGGCAAGTGTCTATATACAGACTAAAGGAAGAACCTTCAGCTATTAACTGATTAACTGATCATTGATGACGATCCCACTTGCTAAAAGCATCAAATTGGTTCAAGTGCAACAACCTTCAGCTATTAATGTCTCCAACTACTATTGGGAGTAAGGTTTTAAATTTCGGAAATTTTGTCCATTTTGAAATAAAAGTATAAAAAGCTTTGAAATATGGAATTATTATAATATTTTATATTTTAATTATTTTATAAATATTTTACAATAATATGAAATTTCAGATAATTATGTCCAAATTCCAATTCCCAAATTTTCAAGGAACCTTCTAAATTTTCTCAAAATAAATGCACTTCAAACCATGCTTGAGGGGGCCCTAACCCGAAGATGTCCATGGGTTGGGTTTAGTATCAAACCAAACCTGATCTGAAATAATTCCAATCGAAACCTGACCTCACTAAACAGAGATTAAATATCAAATCCTATCCGTCCCACATATAATGCACCTATGCTCAACCAAGGTTATACATACATACACAGGCTTGGCTGGGCCGGGTTGGGCTGGGCTATTACACGCATGTGCCATGCCGTGCTGTGCTGTGCAGGTGTGTCTTGGCCCTTGGGCAGCCCCTTCTCTATCTAATTATTTTTATTCAAAAGAAAATAAAAAAAAATAAAAGCGTTCACCTATGCACTTAGGGCCCAACCCTAACCTCATAGGGTCAGGTCAATGCGAGTTTACCACTAAAACCCATCAATTTTCATTTTTTTTCTTAACTTGAAAATTGAATTTTGTGGTGGGAACAGGTTTTGGGATTTTACAACTTGGGAATGGGTAGGATATGGTATTAGGCTTACAGGTGTAAATGGATCGGAACATGATATGGCTCGATTCGAGATCCAATCCTATTTGGTTAAATTTGGATCTCCCTTGTTTGGATCTTCAGATCGGATCGGATTCGGATCACCTCCTATCCAATTCGAGAAGATCCGATCTGATATATTTATAAACATATATATATATATATATGTTTTATTTATTTATTTATAAATATATATTTTTATAAATTTTTTATATTATTTATTTTTTTATAAAAAATGTATATATATATGATGAAAATAAGTAAAAATTACTTGTATTTTTGTTTTTACTTTATTTAAATTACTATATTTTATTTTTCTTTTAGTAATTTATTAATTTTTAAAGAAGACAATTTGGATTGGATCATATCCGAAGATCCGACTTACCGATAGAATTCGATTTGAATTCGAATCCTATCAAATCAAATCGGATCTGACATGAACAGTGTCAGATCGGATTTGAATATACCCTGATTCAAATCCGATCTGATCTGTTTGCATCCCTAATTAGGCTAAACCGACTTGCATATTGTTTTGTTGGAAGTAGACATGTTCATGGGTCGGGCTCGAGTTAGGCTTTCACTTTGCATTAACAAATTTTTTAAGGCCCGAGCCCGAGTCCAACCCTCATAAAAAGCCCGAAGCTTGGGCCTAGGCCCGAGCCCAAAGTATATAGCTCATGCCATTGTTGAAGCGGCTGAATAGAGAGAGAGAGAGAGATTATAAAGAAAAAAAATGTATATATTAAATTATTAATGTATATATATTATATAATAAATATTATATAAATAAGTCGGGCCGGGCTTGGACAAGGCTTTTTTGGAAAATATCGAGCCCGGCCCGACACACAATTGGGCTTGGTGTTTTAGGCTTGAGGTCAGGCCCGCTTGTCTAATTACATGTCCAAGCCTGATCGGGGTGCGGGCTGGGCCGGGCCGCGCTGTCGGGCTACCCAACCCATGAATAGGTCTAGTTGGAAGGTATATAAACTTAAGCTATGTTTGGTTTGAAATAAAAGTTAGGAAAAGAATAATTGATATTTTGAAAATTTTCCTACCTTTTCCTTCAAACCAAACAAAGCCTTATATATTAGGTATTGAATTTAATGATATTTTGAACTTTTTATAAAGAATAATTGATAGTTTATCTATGTTTTACATGTTTTAATTAAATAATTGGAAACTTTGATTTTTCTTCACGTTATTTTACTTGTTTATTGTTTATATATAACAGGGAATAATAGGAAACCAAAGATTTTCGACCCAACCCGCCCCGCCCTCAAATGCAAAAAAAGTAGAATTGGGGAATGCTTTACATTTTCTTGTGTAAAGAGGGTTTAAATTCTGAAATTCAAACCCACTACAGGTTTTAAGTACGATATGGGTTGGGAGGTTTAGAGAGGATGAAGGATGATAGGATGTAAAAATTACAAAACCCCCTCTGTTGTCCTCCCTATATTCAACCTGGTTATGAATCCAAACAAACCAAATATTAAAGTTTGGAAAAACTTGTATGGTTCGTCTCCAACTGAATGAAAAGTGGATCTTAGAATTTGGGCCCTTAACTACCCTCCTGGATCCCTGCAGAACCAATCAGGATGTGACACCTTTTCGCAATAAACATGCATCGAAGAACATTGATCTTCGTGTATATATATATACTTGACAAGGAGCATATGTAGCGCCCACAGCATGAAGTAACTAGGGAACTAACTAACATCTTGTCCTCATTGCATTACAGACGGTGACCTACATTTACTTTGGAGCAACCATAGCTGCAGCTCAGGCCTCAGCATTATCAGTAACTGGAGCAAGTGATTTCCAATGGATGAAGGTGTGCAACATATACACTAGGTTCTGCATTCAGATCGGAGGGTCTCTTTTCTGTGGCCTCGTCGCAGCGCTCCTGATGAGCATTGTTTCGTCGATTTCAGCCTTCAATTTGTTTAGACACTACTCCCCGAAACAATTCTTCGCCCTCAAAGGCTGACGAAATTCAGACGAGAATTGTCACAGTTGTTAATTTCCAGCCTGCTTTCTTGTTTCTTACTGTATCTTTGAAGCTGTTGCATCGATCCTCCAAACAGCTTTATTTATGAGAGTTCGTTGTCTGCAACTATAATTTTAGGTGGGTTACTGGCCATTACAGTGTTTGTGAAAATTTGGTGATCTCTGTAGCTAGGGTCAAACCAACGAGTCAGGCAAGTTAATTGGTTCACGAGATGCCATTACTTGTAATGGTAAAATCTCGGGTTGGCTGCTTTAATCCAGTTAAAGGCCCGGTTCACTTTTTTGGTAAGTTATTTAGGCCCCGTTTGGCAACGTTATGCGAGAGCATTCTTCTTGTTCCCGGCGTTCCTGTGGCAAAAAAAAAAAGAGAGAGAGAGAAAGAGAAATGAGCCATTCCCGAGTGACCGAGTGAGAATAACACCCAAAGAACTTGTTTTTTGGGAGTAACAAATTGACACTCTAAAACAGCAACATGAGAAGAACACGCGGTTTCCACGTCTTACATTTAGTTGCTTACATGTGTGTGTGGTTCTCAAGTGCGAATAGGGTTAAATCAGAGATTTTGCTCAAATAAACTCAAGCCCTATTCGATCTCTTCTCCAATGGGGTTCCAATGTGGCAATGTCTTTCTTCAATTCCTTCCACTGCCACATATTACCAAGGTTCAAAATATTGATACGCCCCTATGTATTGGTAGAGGCATATCGATACTTAAATCACACATTTCTTTGGCTTTTTTTTTGTTTTTTTTTTCAAAATTTGGTTTTTGGGCTTATTTTTTATTATAATCTTTATTAAAAAGAAGGGGGGTTCCTAAAACAACCGAAAATATCAAAACCCCAACAATACAATAGATACACCTGATATGGGGCGTATCATATTGAAACTTTGAACCTTGCATATTATATATTATAGGGTGAGCATCGTTCAACACTAAGTCAAAAGATTGGTGAGCAATAGTCCACCTCCCTCCGACGACTTTTCTAGCATTAGGTATTCCCTTTTTTGATACTATTAGATTTCTTAGTTCATTTTATTGATTTTGGTGAACCCAAGAACCGTTAGTTCTCATTTTACTGATTTTATTTTTTGATGTGAGCAGGGATTATCTATTTATAACTAGATGTCTGTGTTTTAGTTGGATGAAGCTTCTAGGATTGTCGGGATGAGATCCTCCGCTGAGGTCTTTGAAATAATTCCTATTCCCTAGTGGAACTAAGTTCCTGATCCATGTAAGACACTCCTTGGTTGTGTTATATGTCATGCGTGGCATTGACGTGGCTGGATAGAGACGATAATTATGGCCATGACATAATTATGGCCGTACTATGGGGTCAGGGACAAAAACTGCCTTGTACCTTAATTTGCAACAAATACTCCATGAACTTTTATGTTGTGAACTTGTGATAAATACCCCTCGACCGTTAAGCCAGATGATAAAATGTATTTAATTACTAAACTATCCCATTAAACTTTCTCTATCTTATTTTTTGCCCAATTTTCTTAAAACCTATATGGCCTAAAAATACCTTTCGTCAGGCATTAAATTTCCACCTTTGGATGTACAAGGCGCAAGTATTTGTCTTCTAGAATTTCCCAAATGTCAAATTGGGATTCCGTGACAAAAACTCCTTTACTCTACTCTTATAGACTTCATTTCTATGAACTTGTCAAAGAAATGACATTGCCTTGTTTCTTTTTGGGCAATGGCTGAACAGGAAGAAGGAAATTTGGTTGATAGTGTTGGGAGAATCACAAAATCAAGAAGATTATAATCAAGTTTCAAAAAACAACGGAAAAAATATTTTTCTCCCTCTTTGTGTGAATCTGTTAGGAAATAATTTAGTAGAGCTTAAACCAAAGAACAAGCACACAAGAACACAACCAAATTTATGTGGAAAAACCTTCCCGGTGTGGGAAAGAAAAAAACCACAGTCACCCAAAAACTTTTACTATCAAGAAAGTGATTGTACAAGGATTCTCTCTAGATAAAAATAGAGGCATACAATCAGCAAATCATCAAGAAAATACGTTTTTCGGAAACTAACAAATATCTCAAGATAATGGAGAAATCTCACCCAAAATAGAAGTACTGTTCGCGGACTCAGATCTCACAAACCAGTGAGCCAAACCAGATCTCCACCGTTCATATTGAAGAACCTTAAGTCGCGAACATGCCTGCAATCAGCTCAATCGGACCACAAACGACCTTCGATCGGAGCACAAGATGAAAAACTGCGCAGATTAGAATTTAAAGAATCCGCTCATTTTCTCTCTCCATTTTTGCACGGGATTCTCTTCCTTTTTCTTCTCCTATTCTCCCAATCTTTTTGGCAACCAACACCACTAAAAGGTTCTTTCCTTTTTCTATTTTCATTTGAACAAAAATACCCTCATCCATGGGCTCAAAAATACCACATGGGCTTCTTGGGCCATCCTCCACATAAGAGGGAAACCCAACAAATCTCCCCCTTTCCCGACTAGGTGGAGGGATTCGCCAACCCGGCGACCAAGCGACAAACCTCAAGTTTTTCTCTTGGTAATGATTTTGTTAACATATCAGAACCATTATCATCTGTGTGAATTTTTTCAAGTTCAAGTAATTTGTTGTTTAGAGTATCTCTTATCCAATGATACCTCACATCAATATGCTTTGACCTTGCATGAAATGCTGAGTTCTTAGCCAAGTGAATAGTATTCTGATTATCACAGAACAGAACATACTTCTATTGCTTGAAACCAAGCTCTCTGACGAACTGCTTCATCCATAACAATTCTTTACAAGCTTCTGTTGCTGCAATAAACTCTGCCTCTACTGTAGAAAGAGCAATACACTTCTGCAACCTTGACCGCCATGAAACAGCTCCACCAGAGAAAGTAATCAGATAACCTGAAGTAGACTTACGAGAATCCTCATCTCCTACCATATCTGAATCAATGTATCCAACTAACACTGGTTTACCACTGCCGAAACTAAGTGTTAAATTGGAAGTACCTCGAAGATATCTCATTATTCACTTTACTGCATCCCAATGCTTTATTCCTGAGTTCAAAAGGAAACGACTAACAATTCCAACTACATGAGCTATGTCTGGCCTTGTACATACCATTGCATACATCAAACTTCCTATTGCTAACGCATATGAAACCTTTTCCATATCTTCCTTCTCTTTATCTATTGAAGGGCCTTGATTTGATCTTAACTTAAAGTGCTTAGATAAAGGAGAAGAAACCACTTTAGCTTTATCCATATGGAACTTTTCAAGTACCTTGTTAATGTACCGTTCCTGTAACATGTACAACTTTTTCTTTTTCCTGTCTCGACAAATTCAAATGCCAAGAATTTGTTTTGCTGGTCCCAAGTCCTTCATGGCAAATGACTTACTTAACTGCTTCTTTAAATTCTCAATCCTTGAAGAATTTCTGCCAACAATCAACATGTCATCAACGTAAAGTAATAAGATAATAAAATCATCATCAGAGAATTTTTGCACAAAAACACAATGATCAGAAGTAGTCTTCTTATAGCCATGCTCCCCCATAACTGACTCAAACTTCTTATACCATTGTCTAGGTGCTTGTTTCAAACCGTAAATGCTTTTCTTCAACCGGCAAACATAACCCTCTTTTCCTTTTACCTCGGAACCCTCTGGTTGCTCCATATAGATTTCTTCCTCTAATTCACCATGAAGAAAGACAGTTTTCACATCCATCTGCTCAATCTCTAAATCCAAGCTAGCTGCTAAGCCTAAAACAATATGTATGGAAGACATTTTCACAATAGAAGAGAAAATTTCATCAAAATCAATACCTTTTCTCTGACTGAAGCCCTTGACAACCAATCTGGCTTTGTATCGTGGTTGTGAAGTATGTTCTTCTTGCTTCACCCTGTAAACCCACTTGTTTTTCAGAGCTCTCTTACCCTTAGGAAACTTTACCAATTCAAACGTGTGATTGTCATACAAATATTGCATCTCATCTTCCATAGCACCAACCCAATGTGCCATGTTTTTATCTTCCATGGCTTCTGCATAACATTGAGGCTCTCTCCCTTATCTGTCAATAATACATACTCATTTGCATTATACCGTGTGGAAGGACATCGATCTCTGGTAGACCTTCTGAGTGGAATTTTTTGTTATGGCAACTGATCAATAGTCTGATGATCTATCTCGACCTGGGTAGGAGCATTTACATCATCAGTACCCTGTTGATCATCCTGGGTATTTTCCGCCTGTGCTGATAAAGGAATCGGATCCAAGTCAATCAAATCATCACTGTATTGATGGACTGCTTTTTCTGTCTTCTCAACATCTTGTATAGTCTGATCTTCTATAAACACAACATCAGGACTCCTAACTAGCTTCTTCTCAACGGGATCATATAATCTGTACCCAAATTCATCTAGACCATAACCAACAAAGATGCATTGTCGTGTCTTCACATTAAGCTTAGACCTTTCATCTTTTGGAATGTGCACAAATGCCTTGCAACCAAAAACACGCAGATGATCATAAGAAATATCTTTGCCAGTCCAAACTCTGTTTGGAACATCAAACCGAAGAGGAACACATGGTGTGAGATTAAGAACATGTACAACTGTATTCAAAGCCTCACCCCAGAAAGATCTTGGCAACTGAGCTTGCAAAAGAAGACATCTTACTCTTTCAACTAGAGTCTTGTTCATTCTCTTAGCCAAACCATTCAACTGAGGAGTCTTGGGAGGTGTCTTTTGATGTCGAATGCCTTGATGCTTGCAGTACCCATCAAAAGGACCTAAATACTCTCCCCCATTATCTGTTCTGATGCATTGCAATTTCTTTCCAGTCTGTCGCTCAACTAGAGCCTGAAACTGCTTAAACACGTCTAACACTTGATCTTTGCTCTTTAAAGTGTACACCCATAACTTTCTTGAATAATCATCTATGAAGGTCACAAAATAACCAATACCACCCAAAGTTCTTGTCTTCATAGGACCACACACATCTGAATGTACTAGATCAAGTATACCGTGTTTTCTTGAAGAAGGGGAATTGCTGAAAGAAACTCTATTCTGCTTCCCTTCCGAGCAATGAATATACTTTTCCAAATGTGGATCATTCATGCCAGGAAGAAGATTCTTCTTAGCCAATACTATCAAGCCTTTCTCGCTTATTGAGCAAGTCTTTTATGCCACAACTCTGATGTAAGCTTATCTTTCACAGCATTGATAGCGCCTTGTGAGAGTCCTGTTTGCAGTATATACAAGCTAGAATGCTTGTTTTCATGAGCAACAATCATAGCACCATTAATAAGCTTCCACTGACCATTACTGAAGGTGTTGCAATATCCTTCATCATCAAGTTTACCTGCAGAGATCAAATTCAGACGAATATCAGGAATATGCTTTACTCCTCTAAGAAGTAGCTTCGTACCATTGTTCATCTCCAAGCACACATCTCCAATACCAACGACTTTGGCCAAGCCATCATTGCCCATCTTTACTGTACCAAAGTCACCTGCCGTGTAGGATGTAAAGAAGTCATTTCGAGATGTAGCATGAATGGAAGCTCCACTATCAATAACCCAACTGGTCTCATGACATGCAATGTTGACAATATCACTATCATAAACAACAATAAAGTCTTGAGTAGAAGTGGTAACAACTCTATCATTTTCCTTGCTATCACCACTCTCTTGTTCTTTGCATTTTTTATTGTTCTCCCGTTTCAACTGTCTACAATATTTCTTGATGTGTCCTTTCATGCCGCAGTGATGACACTCAACATTAGCAAACCTGTTGAACTTACTTCTTCCTTTATCTTTGTTCTTGGAATCTTTGCTCTTACTCCACCCTCTTCTTTCTGTAACCAAAATCTCTAACTGCTGAGAAGACCCATGTGACTTTCTTCTCGTTTCTTCATTTAAAATATTGCTCTTAGCCAGATCCATATTGATTATACTATTTGGAGCTAAGTTACTCAATGACATTTTGAATGTCTCCCAAGAGTCTGACAATGTACCTAGTAGACACAACCCCTGAATCTTATCATCAAACTTGATACCCATTCCAGCTAGTTGATTAATTATACATTGGAACGTATTCAAGTGATTTGTCAACGGAGTTCCATCTCGATACCTTAAAGCCATCAACTGCTTGATGAGAATCATTTTATTATTTCCCGTTTTCCGAGCATACAACTCTTCAAGTTTATTCCAAAGTGTCCGTGCATGTGTTTCTCCACTAATATGATTCAAAACATTATCATCTATTCATTGCCTTATATAGCCACAAACCTGTCGATGTAACAAGGTCCATTGTTCCTCAGACATATTTTCTAGCTTCTCAGTGGCAAACACCGGTAAATGAAATTGTTTAACATAAAGGAGATCTTCCATTTTTCCTTTCCAAGTATGGTAATTTGCACAATTCAAAGTAATCATTCTACTCAAATTAGCTTCCATATTCAGCACAAGATATTCAGTAACAATAACTTGGCTCTGATACCACTCGTTGGGAGAATCACGAAATCAAGAAGATTATAATCAAGTTTCAAAAAACAGCGGAAAAAATATTTTTCTCCCTCTTTGTGTGAATCTGTTAGGAAACAATTAAGTAGAGCTTAAACCAAAGAACAAGCACACAAGAACACAACCAAATTTACGTGGAAAAACCTTCTCGGTGTGGGAAAGAAAAAAACCACAGTCACCCAAAAACTTTCACTATCAAGAAAGTGATTGTACAAGGGTTCTCTCTAGATAAAACTAGAGGCATACAATCAGCAAATCATCAAGAAAATACATTTATTGGAAACTAACAAATATCTCAAGATGATGGAGAAATCTCACCCAAAACGGAGGTACTGTTCGCGGATTCATATCTCACAAACTAGTGAGCCAAACCAGATCTCCACCGTTCAGATTGAAGAACCTTAAGTCATGAACATGCCTGCAAAGTTTCAGCTCAATCGGACCACAAATGACCTTCGATCAGAGCACAAGATGAAAAACTGCGCAGACTAAAATTTAAAGAATCCACTCATTTTCCTATTTTCATTTGAACAAGAATACCCTCATCCATGAGCTCAAAAATACCACATGAGCTTCTTGGGCCATCCTCCACATAAGAGAAAAACCCAACAAATAGAAACCATCAAACATCTCTCAAGTCTCAACAACAATATTCAAAAGCACAACTCCCGTCCTTGGGCTTGTTGTAGGCGACACCCAGTTCAATTGATCTGACTGCCTCATCAATATGCCACACTGCTGTAACCATCTGGTCGACCATAAGATTGACAAAGTTCCAAATCGACTTAATGGCATGTCGCAGTACCGTAATAAAATGGTTTGGATTCAAGCCCAAAGACTCTTCTAATTTATCTCTCAGAAACGTAATCTCAGAAGTCTCAAGAGATTTTTTTCGCTCTTGAATTTCAGCCAACAATGGTGTAATCTCAGAGGATCAATCTGCTTCTTTAATTAAAATTGTTTTAGTTCGGAGAGATGCTTCAGCTCAAACACTACTACCGCATCAGCAGTTTGAATACCATTAGCATCATAAGGAGACTGAGCAATTTGGAGCTGGGCATAAGCAACTTTCACAGACGAATTGCTAGCAAAGAGCATCGCAAGGAAAGTCTCCACGGTTGCTCTATTCTGAAGTTGAGACCTCATCTTCATAAATTAAAGATAAAGGTAATTTGGGCATTTAAAAAAATTTAAACAGTTAAATAAAAATCTTTTTCGAAGTTAATTAACGGAATACTAACGAACGAGGGTCTTTGTCTAACGGATAAAGTTTATAGGGCCCTTATCGCAACTTAAAGTAAAGGGATCTTTGTCACTCACCCCATATAACAGGGGGATTTTGTAATTTACCGTTGTTGTGTACAGGTACTAGGCAATTTCAATAGTCGAAGGGAGTGCTGCGACTGCGAGCTTATGAAACTCGGTTCTTTTGCCTTGGGGCTTGGATGCTCCTTTTTCATTCCAAACAAACTCTAATGGGAGCGAACCCTATTAGTTTACAGGAAAAGGACTTCTAAGTTTAATGGGTATCAGTTAATTCCGTAAGATTTCATTGCTAAATCGGTCGGTCGATTACCAAACTGCAAAGCAACAACGAATGCATTCAAAGGAGAATGATTCCCAGACACTCTTCCTTTCAATGCCCACCAAGGTACGTTCTTTCAATCTTAAGTTCTTATCTCAGTTCCAGTTCATCAAACTTTTCTTCATTCATCTCTCGGTCCTTCTGCTCTGAAACCTCGGCCGACGGTGAAGACGTGGACAGAGTGTTCGGTATTGTCAATAACGCTTCTTCAAGTCAGAACTTGAAGGAGTCTCTGAAAGCGACTGGGATCTTTCTGTCCAGTGGTTTGATTGATAAGGTCCTGAAAAGGATCAGATTCAGCCATGGAAATCCCTTGCAAGCTTTGGAATTCTTCAATTATACTGCAAAAAGAAGTGGGTTCTACCACACTGCATTTTCATACGATACTATGCTTTATATCTTGGGGAGAAGCCGGGAATTCGATAAAATATGGGAGGTTTTAGTCGAAATGCGTCGGAAAGATCGTTCTTTGATAACATCTCGTACTGTTCAGATAGTTCTGGCCCGAATTGCTAAGGTTTGTTCGGTTCGCCAGACCGTTGAGAGCTTTAAGAAGTTCAAAAAGCTTGTTCCTGAATTTGATACCAATTGTTTTAATGCGTTGTTGAGGACATTGTGTCAAGAGAAGAGCATGACGGATGCACGAAACGTGTATCACAGTCTCAAACACGATTTCCGGCCAAACTTGCAGACATTTAATATACTCCTTTCAGGGTGGAAATCATCAGAAGAAGCTGAAAGTTTCTTTGAGGAGATGAAGCAAATGGGTGTTAGGCCTGATCTTGTCTCGTATAACTGTTTGGTTGATGTTTACTGTAAGGATAGACAAATGGAGAAAGCATATAGAGTGGTTGATAAGATGAGGGACGAAAACATTTCCCCAGATGTCATCACATATACGAGTTTAATTGGGGGGTTGGGATTAGTTGGTCATCCTGATAAAGCTACGTATATTTTGAAGGAGATGAAGGAGTATGGTTGTTACCCTGATGTTGCAGCATATAATGCTGCTATAAGGAACTTCTGCATTGCAAAGAGGCTTGGGGATGCCTACAAGCTGATGGATGAAATGGTTGGTAAAGGATTGAATCCGAATGCAACAACTTACAACTTGTTCTTTCGATGTTATTATTGGTCAAATGACTTAAGAAGCTCATGGAATTTGTATCAGAGAATGATGGAGAGTGGATGCTTTCCAAACACACAGTCATGTATGTTTCTAATCAAATTGTTTCGAAGGCAGGAGAAGGTGGATATGGCTCTTGAGCTGTGGAATGACATGGTGGAGAAGGGCTTTGGGTCATATACTTTGGTGTCAGATGTATTGTTTGGTTTGCTTTGTGATATGGGGAAGTTGGAAGAAGCTGAGAAATGCTTCTTGCAGATGGTTGCAAAGGGACAGAAGCCAAGCAATGTTTCCTTTAGGAGGATCAAAGTGCTCATGGAATTGGCTAACAGGCACCAAGCCCTTTCAAATTTGTCAGAGAAGATGGCAGCGTTTGGACCCACTGAAACAACATCCAGACCCACTGTTGTAATTGAATCAGATTATTATAATATATAATTGTTCAGAATGACCCTGTATGAGCATGCTTCAAGCATTTGCTGATTTAACTTCTCCGTGCTTTTCATTTTTGGGTAGAAGAGAGACTCAAAAAGTGAAACATTTCCTAAACCATCTGAACCATATAACAATATCTTTTAAAATGTAGAATGGTAGTCACTAGATTGACATTCTTGCTAATTGACTAGTTGAAATTTTTTTCTTGCTGATATCTTCTTGAGAGTCTTTTTTTTTTTATTAATATTTGGTGGCCCATGGGGAATTGTAACTTACTTCTTGTTACAATTTTATGTTTGACAAAGGCGCAATTGGCATATTTAAGAAACATGTCTTATTAGGTGGCATTTTTTTTCTATATTCATAAGGAACTTCATCCAACCAGCATAATGTGCTTTACAAATACTGGATATTTATTTTTATCCACTGATATGACTGACTAGTAATATATTGGAAAGCAATGCATGCGAGCCCCACTAAAGTAATTGATTGGCTATAAACAAACCAGACTCCTAGATTTTTCTGTAGAGGAGACCTTTACCTGAGGAAGCTCATCTGAGTGGATGGAATCAAGCTTGGAGCCATTCAAGGATCTGAAAACGATGATCAAGAATCTTAGCCTTTGAAGGACCACAGTGGAATGTCACCTGCTCCATTACCATCAGGGAGGCCTGTATTGTTCACTTGTGAATTTCCTCTGCGTGCAACAAACTTTTGATTCTATTACTCAATTGTTATTGTTCTTCTGGGTGTAGTTTGCCCCTCTCCAAGTTCCTTATGCTCATTTGCTGTTTCAAACACAAAGCTTCTCTCTGTAACTCTGCAATCTCATTTTTGACACAGGTTCTCTCTATTTAAACGGATTTTCCAAGCTTGCCTCCAATTGGTAAGTTATGGGGATGCTCTCTCGAATCCAACAATCTATAATTCTTCACTTGTTATTCTTTTTCTATTTTGTCCTCTCCATTTTGGACTATTTTCTTTCACCACCACCATGTTTATTTGTTTGATTTTTTTTCTAAGTCTGTTGATTGCATATGGTGATAAGTTGTATATGGATTTGAGTGTGAAGATCATTTAAGGATTACTTTGACCATTCAGTATACTTAAAACCACTTGTAAAATTAAGAACATAACATTTCTTATCAGTTTCTTCAGTGGCTGTTGTTCCTCTTAGCCAATTTTCATGCTCATTTAATTTTTCTTCATTTTTTTATCTAGGTTGTGTCTGGTTTGCTTTAAACTAAGAGAGAAACAGAACTTAGGACTTTTCCCTTGACTTTCTGTTTCTCTCTTATTTTCCATCAAAGCAAACATAGCCTTATGGTAAGAAGTTATAGATTTCTGCAATATGGGATTGGATAAGTTTGATGCTGTAGTAAGATTCATGTAGACTATGGTTTTGCAACTGATACATTCATGTTGACCACGGTTTGCACCAAAATTTCAGAACTTATTGTTGTGTTCTAAATCTAATTCATTGGATTGGTCTTTTTCTCTTCTTTTTTTTTTTTTTTTTTTTTATTCTGCTCCAATATAAAAGTACTACACCTGCTCCTAATTAGTTATATAGCTGGGACCAACATTCGGTAATGGCCTTTACTAGATTGATCTGTTCTTGTGTAACCTCCAAACCCTATTTTGTTCTTTCTTCTTCAAGTGAGTTCTCTTCTATTAAAGCTAGATCTGAAGTACTGATAGTCATTCTCATAAACAAATTGATTGATTATGTTGATCAGCTTCACTTCCTCATAGTAATTAGTCATATGAAGCTATTTACAGTTTTCTGTGAGATAGTGACTTCACAAAGCACAACAGACTCTTCCAACAGCAATTCTGCGATGCAATTATTCATAGAGCCCTCTGGAGTCATATTTTTGGGCACAGGACTATTGAAGGTATCCCATGCAGAAGCTGCCTCACCATCCACTGAAGGCATGTCTGGTATGATTTTTGAAGATTTCATTTTAGCCAAGTTTTCTTGTTAAAAGGTGAAAGTAGTCCAGATTGGCAACTTTCTGCAACATTAATTTCTTTGATGCTACTATACTTCAATTGTTGTCTCTCATTGGCTTTTACAGGTTTGCTCAAAAGCAGTTGAACCAGGTAAAAAGAACAGAAGATTTAATACAAGTATTCTTATTTGCTATCTGAAGTCCTCTGGAAAATGTTACATTCTAATAGATACTGGGAAGTATGTATTCAGTTGGGGTAGTATATATTCTTGCATTTCTATTGGAAGTTGTTAGCTTTCATGCCATTTTTTCTGTTGAGGTTTTGAACACTGTAACTGGCCTAAAACACAACTTTCACTTTGCGATGAGAAAAGAGATCTTGACAGGGCAAAATGACCTTGGGAGATTTTACCTGCTGCTCATGAGATAGGGGTGCGTATGCCACTATTTAAGGAATTGAAAGATGAACAGGTGGAGTTCTTTAGGGAGAGGTTTGCTGGAAGTCAAACTGATTGGATTTTGAAGGCAGAGGCTGAAGTGAACAAGGTCGCTTCTTTTCACTCGAATAAGAGTTTAATTGAAGTCTGTGAATGGGTTCCACACAAGGCGATTGCTAATCCTGACTCCCCTGATAAATCTAACCCCAGATTTAATCAGCAAAAAGAAGTAAAGAAGGGTGAAGAAGTTTCATATCAGGATTAGGAGAACTTTTCTGATGATAGTGACTCTGATTCTTGAAAGCTCAAGTATAGGCAACATGGAGGATAGTGAAAAGTATAGGGCCCTATAACTGGAGAGCTTTAACACAGAATTGATTTTCCCAAATGAAGAGGATTTTATTGGTGAGAAAAGTTAACAGATGGGCAGCAAGACTGAGATATTCTCTTGCACGAAGCCTTCAAACTTGCTACAAGAATGTCGAGTGAAGAACCAATCTTATTTCCCTTTAGATGAAGGGGCGTCACCAAATGAGGAGCAATTGATTGCTTTATGGTCCACAGTACAAGAGTCAAGCCAGAAGCTAAAAGAGAATGGGCTAGATAGAAAGGGTAGAACAGAGTAATCTGAATATTATTCGATGTAAAAATGTTCAAGTTGATAAACCTTCTGAGCAAAATCCTGTCAGATTTGATTGTGGTGTTGGTTCTGTTCCAGACAATTTGTGTCTCACTGTTGAGTACCTGCCCAAGGTATGTTAGTTTAGTATTTGTAACAGATGCACCAGAGTCCTAGCTGTTACTTTAGTATCTTGGATCGTAATGAGAAAGGAGGGGAAGTAGGGGTTGGCATGAAAGTCCAAGTAGATGCAGGAGAATAGATGGATAGGGATTGTGGAGAAAAAAATCTGGCAGATGATCTGTGAGTTCTTTGAAGAATTAAAACAGAAAGAGGTAGATGAAGAAGAAGCAAGAAACAAAAAGGAGGAAGGTGATTCTGAAAAGGGGGTAAGAGGAAATGAGGGTAAGGAGAATTAGAAAGTGAAAAAGAAGAAGAGCCACTAGTGGGTTTGGCATGGAAGATGGGTCTTGAAGCAAAGGGCACAAAGAAGTCGAGGTTTATTAAAGGAAAAGTTTGGAGAAAGGAACAAGAAGGAAAAACAAGATGTCTGAGGTTGAAAGATTAAAATTAAATGTTCAGAGCCATTTAGAATTTAGTATTGGGGGGGAAGGGGGAAGAAGAAAAGGGGCCAAGTAGGTATTAGGTAGGAGTGGGAAGAGATTTCAGTTAAGATAGATGAAGATTGTCAACCAGAATGTGAGAGGATTGGGGAGTGTGAGGAAGCAAAGGGTAATTAGAGATCTTTTAACGAAGGAGAAACTGGATATTGTAATTTTAGAAGAACCAAAGTTGGCAAACATAGATAGAAGACGAACTAGAAGTTTTTAGAGATTTGGGGGTGTTAGTAGGTCTTTGACACCAGCGTGGGGGGAGGGGGGGAGCTTTGAGCAATATAATTACCTTGTGGAAAAATGTAGTGGAATGTGTAGAAGAATTCATTGGGAGGTTTTCATTGTCATTTGAGCTTAGAGATGTGGAAGATCACTACACTTGGGTCCTAAGAAATGTTTCATACGAGGAGAGAAATGAATTGCGAAAGGAGTATGTGCAATTAGAGGTCTTTGGCATGACCCTTGGTGTTTGGGTGGTGATTTCTATGTGACCAGATTATCTTATAAAAGTAAACCTCACCAGTGGATCACTACTAGTTTGAGGAACATTAATTTCCTCGTAGACTTTTGTGAGTTGAGGGAGCTATCTTTGCTTTAGGCTAGCTTTATGTGGTCCAATTACCAAACCTACCCAACTTGGTCAACATTGGATAGATTTCTCTTCTTCCTTGATTGGGAATCCCCTTTCAGGTTTGATAAGATGTGGTTAACCCATCTTGTGTTCCTATAGAATGTTGAAGAGATGTGGAAGGAAGAAATAATGGGTTTCAAATGGAAAGGAGTTCAATTTCATAAGAGACTACAAAGGTTGAAAGCTGGAACAAAAGAGTGGAATGGGGACCCTTTTGGAAGGTTAGGACTATGGTTTAAAATGTCCCTAATTTCCCTATTATTTCCACGACATATTTCCATTTCCTTGGGTAGCGACACTAAATTTTACTGGAATCAACATTTCCCCAACGAACACTACCAAACCTATGTGGAGTACAAGAGAGTTTCCATGACATATTTCCATTTTCACTTCCATGGGTAGCAACATGTAATTTTACTAGAATTGACATATTCCTTTTGAACACTGCCAGTACTATGTGGAGTACAAGAGATAGTATTATAAGATAAGTTGGTGACAATATTGTAGATATGTGAAGTAACAAGTTATTTTCTACCTAACTTACATGATTACAACTTTGAGCTAGCTCAATATTCATTTCAAACATGAACTTGAATAATAGATTTTGTTCCTGTAGTAGATTATTTGGTTGATCTGTTACAACAATTTACACTTTCTATGAGTTTAAATTTTGCTTTAACTAATTCTATCATGAAGTTCTAAAGCTTAAGGTTTACAAGGCAACTTCAGAACATATTCTTTTGTCTATAATCCTAGTTAGTTTTGTTTAATAACTTGGAACAAGAAAATAATTTAAAAGGGCATGCCTATGCTTCTTTTGTCATTTCATAAAATATCATTCTCCATTTTGCATATTTTACAATGTTTCCACCATGTCTATAATTGTTACAATATTTCCATACGACATTTTCTACATGTTTCTTATATTTGGATAACCAACATTTCCACCGACATCGAC